ACGACGACGACGACGACGACGACGACGACGACGACGACGACGACGACGACTATACTATGTGGAAAAAGATGGGATGATGCGGCTGATCATCACTGATGTGAAACCAAGAACAAAAACACATAGGCACAGGCTAGCAGGGCTTCTGAGATGATGCTGAGGCCAACGGGGGGCGAGCAGCAAAAGGTAGAAAATTGAGGAAGCCTGCGAAAAGATTAGAGCCAAGTGCAGTAGGGTGAGAAAGAAAGAGTGAAACAGATGTCAAGGGACAGCCCTGGAAGGGGTGCAGCTGTAAAGTGCCGTCCGCATGCAGCTGCGGCTAGAGCTCCGCTCGTAGCCAGGACGCCCTAGGATCTAGAGAGGCCGGCTCAGAGAACGCTCAGTAGACGAAACCAAAGCTGCGGCTTGCCACTTGCCTGGTGCTACTCCTGCGGTTTGGAACGTCCACCATCCAATCCGCCGGGGGGGTCCAGCAGGGTGATCCCCTTGGCCCACTGCTGTTTGCAGCAGCCATCCACGGCCTTACCCAACAACTCCGCGCCCACCTGGATTTGACAGTTTTCTATTTGGATGACGGCGTCATCGCTGGCGATGCTGTGGCGGTTGGCGCGGCCCTTGCCCACCTCCAAACCCAGGGCGGGAGTCTGGGCTTGGCCCTCAACTTGGCCAAGTGTGAACTCATCAGCGTCGGCGGCTTGCCGCTGAGCGACCTCGCCGGACACTTCCGCCCCGGGATTGTCCGGCACCCTGACGGGACCAGCCAAAACCACTTCGAATTGCTTGGGCGGCCATCGGCGACGACTCTTTCCTTGCGGCCCACACTGCTGACCGGGTTCAGGCCGTCTTGCCTTTGCTGGAGGCCTTGTATGGCATCGGGGATGCCCAAGTGGGGCTCCGCCTGCTCCGCACCTGCGCGGGGTACGGGCGCATAGTGCACAGCCTTCGATGCAACCCGCCCCAGGCCCAACTGCAGCCTCTACAGAATTTCGACACCGCGGTGCACTCGGCCTTTTCGAGTATAACCGGGCTGCACCTCAATGCCACCCAAAGAGAACAGGCCGGCCGCGGCTTGGCATATGCCGGGCTAGGTCTCAGATCGGCAGCCTTGGATGCCCCCGCTGCATACTTAGCCTCGGTTGGGAGCACAGCCACGGCGTGTGAAGAACTTGACGGGGGCTATGTCGCTGCGTCCGTGGTGGC